GGAGTCTGCTTCTCCCTCTGACCCTCCTCCCTCTCATGCTCTCTGTCTCTCATTCTCTCTCTCTCAAATAAATAAATAAAATCTTTAAAAAAAAACAAAAAACAAAAAACAAAAAAACCTGGGGACCCCATACAGAGGCATGGTCAACCTGCCGCCAGTGGTCCCGGGTCTGGGTTGGCTCCTGCGGGGGAACCGAGGGAGGGACCCAGTCCCCCTAGTGTTCAGTGACTCAGCCCTAGTCACAACATGAGGAAAAAAGGCCCTCAGACAGCGAAGCTGGAGCCAAGACCAGGCACAGGCCTGGGAACCGAGTCCAGAGGCCCTCCCGGGAGAGATGGGGGAGGGATGCTGACCCCAAGGAACTGCTCTGTGCCCCAAAGGAAACTGGAGAGAAGCCTTCTTTTGCAGGCAAAAAGAGTCACACCACTCATCTCCTTTCTCTTTTTGCTTTGGCTGCCAGGAAACTCAGGGCACAGGTTTAGTCAGCAAGAGGTATATTAAGGCCTGTAGGTTTATGGCCACTCCTGGCTACAGCCCAGCCCCAGTGCCTTCTGATATATAGCACAGTGGGGAACATTTCTAGAATGTGCCATGGGCCACATGGGGGCTTCACATGGTGCATCGGTCTCCTCTTGCCACCATAATAAGCTATCACAAACCTCACAGCTTAAAACAGCACACGTTTATTACCTTATGGTCCTGGAAAGCAGAAGTCCAAAATGGAGAGCTACGTTCCTCCAGGACCCTGGGGAGACCCGGCTCTGGCCTCTTCCTGGCCCGCGGCCCCCCTCCATCCTCACCGCCAGCAGTGTGGGGTCTGCCCATCTCTGGGACTCCCACCCTCTGCCTCCCCCTCGTGAGGACCTCCTGAGGACACCGGGCCCCCCGGGAACCCAGGGTCACCCCCTCCTCGGGGGCCCTGACGAGGTCCCCTCTGCCACGTGAGGGGACACGTCCCAGGTCCTGGGACCAGGACGGGGATGTATTCGAGGCTATCACTTTGCTGGTCATGGTGGTGATGTCATTTGGTCAATCAGGAGCAGAGGGTGTGTGTGTGGTGGGTCCACTGGCTGAGGCCCAGCTTGGTCTGGCCCCCTTCCTGGCATGGCCCGCAGGCCCGGGGGTCACGAGGGAGGTGGAGGTAGCTAACGGGGCCTCAGGACCCTTCACCCGGAACTGAACTCTGGTCTCGCATCTGTCTAATCCCACACTTAGCACCGGGGTGAGATTTTGTTTGAAGAAGGTTCCGCTGCTTTACAAGAAAGATCTGGGTCCAAGCTGCCCCCCAGCAGGGTAGGCCGCTGCCGTGTTCAGCAGGAGCTCAGTAAATGTCTGTGGGCTGGACGCAGCCGAGCTCGACCATGGAGCAACAACCGGCAGTTCCCCCCACACGCAGTGAGACACGGACGCCGCGGCCCCAAGGGTGGGTTGAAGGAACCCTGCTGGTTCTGGGCAGCACAAGCCGAGTGCAGGAAAGAGAGCCAGGGGAGTGGGGACGGGTGGGCGGCCCCCCGGGGCTGGGGCTTCTGCGCCCACAAGCCTCAGCTTCCTTGCCTGGAGAGCAGGTGACACCCCAGCAGGGGAGACGGCATCACAAGATGCCGAGTCTGGACATGGAGCTGTGTCTGGGACCCGTGCGGAGGAACTCGATCAGAGCTCAGAGCAGGCACGGCAGGCTCAGGGAGGCTCTCGGGCCGTGGACCATCGGCCCACACCCTGTCATGGAGACCAGGTGCTCCCCAGGCCGGGCGACAGCAGGTGCCAAACCAGAGCGAGCAGCGCATCCTTGTGCGTCGGCAGCTGGCGGGGGAACCCCAGCACGCCCAGAAAGGCTGGAGGGACCTCCCATCCCTCTCCCACTCACACCTCTCCCTGGGAGGACTGGGGCCAGCTGAGCCCGTTGAGCTCCCATGTCCTCCAGGCCCAGCCAAGCCGCTTCCTGGGGGGCCACCACAGGGTCCAAGATGGAGAGGGAGGGCTTGAACCACAGACACGCATGCTCTCGTGGTCCTGCACGGCAGACATGCCAGGTGAAGGCATCCCGGGCTGCGCTCCCCAGCAGGCTGCAGGGGAAGGCCCTTCCTGCCCCTCACAGCTCCCGGCATCCCTCCCTGCCGCCGCTGTCCTGGGCTTTCCCCTCTGTGTCCTCCATCTCTTACAAGGACCTGCTGGGTTTAGGGCCATCCTGCTCCATGATCACTTCATCCCCAGCTTTAATTAAGTGACATCTGCAAAGACCCTGTTTCCAAAGAAGGTCCTGTTCTTGGTAGACTTGGTTCCAGGTCCCTGCCTCGCGCTGCATGGACATTGGCTCCCTGAGGAGGAAGCCGGTCTGAACTGACCTTGCTGGGTCCAGCGGATTCTGGCTGGTGGGTCTGAGCCGCATCCTCCCAGACCGCCACCCGGCAGGCCCCACAAGCCCCCGAGCCCTGGGGCCGTCTAAGCTGGACAGCTCCCAAACTGTGTGCTGGGGTAGCCCCAGCTGCGGCGGAACCACCGGCTCCAAGGACTGCGCCTTTCTGAGGGAAACTCAACGCTGCTAGGCTGCTGCAGCCCCAGCCTCGGGTCCCACCGGGCTCCTTCCCACAAACCATCTCTTTGGGGCGCCTGGTTTTCCAGGCCTGCCGTGAGGAGCTGCATGCCATCAGACACTTGCCAGAGAGGGTCCACCCGATTCCGCCCCAAAATGAAACCGCACGTATCTCTTTCTTTGGTTTGGGTGGGTTACACTCTTCAAACGGCCGCTGTTTGGGGACATAAACGCCAACGACGGGGTTTGCACCCGACGGAACATGGCTCTGGCCAGGGGCACGGGGAACACGGTGGACCCTTGCTGACATGCTAAGGCGCCCAGAGCAAGCAGGGGGGCCTGTGCCCAGGAGAGGAAGGCACTACAGTCTGGGTAAAGTGGACCCGGTGCTCCAAGATGCTGCCCCGCAACCCGGGCCTGGGGCGGGAGCGGCAAGCTGACGGGGATGTGGCCTCCCGCCCAGCTCGCAAGCTGCGGGGGAAGCTGCCGTGACAGACCCACGCAGGCAAGGCTGCGATCTGGGAGCTCTCGGGCCGGGTGGGGGCCAAGGGGGCATCAGCTCTTCCCAGGTACAGCCCACGGCTCCCCAGGAGCCTGGCCAAGGCTGCCCGTGAGAGGCAGGGGCCCCCTGGGCCACGTGGGGATGGAAGGGCGACCGTGGCTCGAGGTCCCTACCTGAGGAAAGTCACCCGTCTTTGGCAGGAAGCTAGAGGTGGTGGTGGAGGGTCCGTAGCTGGTGTCCGCGCAGGGCTGGCTGGCAATGAAGGAGGTGGAGCTCATGAACTGGCTGCAGGGAGACCGGGGAGAGGGCGGCCGTCAGGACAGGAGTGCGAGCCACCTACCTGAGGATGAGCTCCGGCATCCAGGAAACCCAGCTCAGTGGAGAGGCCCGCGTGCCCGCCTCCCACGACTGCCCTGCAGACACCACGCGCTGCCGTGCCCCCTCCGCAGGCCGTTCCTTGGCCTGGTTCTTGGCCTGCTCCACCCCCACCCCCCCAGCAGCTCCTACTTACTCTTCAAAACCCCGCTTGCTGTTGCCCTCTGCAGGAAAGTGCCCTCAGAGTTCTCACCCCCCACCCGGAGGGCACCCACGGAGCCCTCTGCCCTTTCCCTGGCGGGCTCTCTCCCAGATGGGCCACAGCTGGTCAGTCTCAGCTGCCTCCCTGTGGCCAGGGCCCGGCCCACAACCCCCTGAGCAGCATGCTGAAGCCCTCTGCGGGCCGCGAGCTCTACTTTTGTTCCTGCAACGACCGCAGAACCCTGAGAGCCCTGGAGGGCACCGTGGCCGCCGGGCGGCGCAGACCCTGGAGGCCAGAGGGACTTACTGGCTTTCACGGGAGAAGGCCGGGAACGGCGTGGGCGAGAAGGTACCCCACCATGGGTAGTGCAGCACGGCATTCTGAAACAGAGCGAGAGGGTCAGGGCGCAGAGCGGGGTGGGGCACAAACTGCACCCTGTGGTCTCCCAGCCGGGTGGCCTGGGAGCGACTGCACAGCTCCGTGCCTCAGTCTGCCCATCGGCACAGGAGAGCCCACCGAGGGGACCACAGTGAAGGTGGAAGAACCCATCCGTACGTGTGAAGGGCTCGGGCCAGGGCCGGGCTTGCCGAGAGGCTCAGGCGCCACCGTACACCCATCTGCGGGCAGGCGGGACGGGGGCGGGGGGGCCCTGACCCACCTCCAGACCAGGAGCGCCCCCAGCATCTCTGGAGGGCCAGGGGAACCCAGACTGCTGGCCCACCCAAGGGTCTGACCTGGGAACCCGCATTCCACACAGGACCCAGGTGTGCTGGAGGGCCGGGGACCCTGCCTGGAGCTCCCCCCGACCCACCCCCCCACTTCCAGAAAGTAGACGGTGGGACTGGGGCACCTCCTGGTCCAGGCCCAAGGGAGGTCCGTGTGGCCAAGAGGACTTCTCAGAGGGGCTCCCAGCACCACGGACCAGCCCCTCCCGGGGGGATGGCAGCCTGGCCTGCTCAGAACTCCCTCAGGCCAAGCCGGCTTGGCCCAAGAGTGCAGCACAGGCAGGTGTTCTGGGGAGCCCGCTTTGAGAAACATCAACGGGGGCTGGAGGGATGAGCCTGAGGTCAGCGGGGCCTTGGGGGGCCCTGCACTGGGCTTTGACGGCACCAGCTTGGGGGTGTGGGACGGTGGACACTCGCGCCCCCCGCACAACAGGCTTGTCCTACCCTGATGCACAGGCCTGCCGAGTGGGGTCCCTTCCCCTAACCCACACCGTGGCCATGCGGGAGCACGTCAGGGAGGCCACCGCTGGGGAGGGGCCTGGTGGCCGCGGTCACCACCCCCACCTGTCCTAGCTGGCTCTGGCAGGGGGAAAAGCAGCCCTCCCGCTGGTGCCCCAAAGTCCCGCTCCTCCGTAAGGCCGCCAGAAGCACGTCCCCAGCCACAGCCCCCTCCCTCCCCGCAGGACTCGCCAACGGGGGGCTGGAACCAGCCCAGGTGGCCGGAGAGACCAGGTGCCCTTCTCTGGCCCTGTGTCTGGGGTCTCCGGCCCTGACTTCCCATCACTGCACGCCCCCCACCCTGACCCTGCAGGGCTGTCAGGCCCCAGAGCACCAGAGCAGAGAGAGGAGAGGGAGAGACGCGCAGTGAAGGGGTCCCACCTGCTCTCCCAGCGTTGGCACAGGCTGCAAAATAACGATATGAGAACAGTGGGGAGAGCAACACAGGGCCCTCCCGGCACGAAGGCTTGGTGGCATGTCACTTATGGGCAGTAACTGTGGAAGCCTCCAGAAGGCCCCCGCTCCAGGGGAGCAGGGTGAGGTCAGCCCAGGGCCCTGGTCTGGTGTCAATTCTCCTCTCCAGCCCCATGCAAGAAGAGGAACCCAGGGGCGCCCGGCCGGCTCAGTCCGTGGAGCCTGAGACTCTTGGTCTCAGGGTTGTAGCTTCAAGCCCCACGTCGGGTATGCAGATGACTTAAAAATAAAATCTTTA